ACTTGAGTTACTATTTTTTTCAAAATTATAGAAGAGATCTAAATTTAGTAAATCTAATTTAGTAAAGAGAAAAAACACATTTTGTTAAACTTTTTTTGTATAAAAACTTATTGTTAAACTTTATTTGTATAAAAAAATAACTGATTTTCTCTACATAACAAGATTTTTTTGAGGTTTACTGATTATAATTATATTTTTTGAAATTGTTTTTATCGATATTATCGAATATCGATATTCTAATCCAGGAAAGTTATTTTCATTAGATACAAATCTCTATTGAAAATAAGCTTTCTGTATAATTTGATGTTGTTGGATGAGTCAAAGCCCTCTCGACAATTTCAGCAAAGACCAGCCACTTCAATTCTTCCAGAAGTCAAGATAATCAAAATTAATTGATAATCCAGATAATCATTGAGTACTTCATCCGTTATTTTAGAGTTTGAAGTTTAACTTTTTGTTGCTTGAGATTGGGCAATGATGTTATTCAATATGACTCTTTTCCATCTAAGATAATAATGTTTAATAGAACATCAAAATAATCAATTCCATTTTAAAATCACATTTCATAATAAATTATTTTGGTTTAGCAAAAAATTTTGGAATTAGTTTGATAAAAAATTTGCAAAGCTAATATGAAACAAAAAGAAAGAACTGTAATTTCGTTGAAAAATTGTTGAACAGAAATTTTGGTTAAATTCGATTTCGATATTTTTTTTTGTCGATTAGTAAGCCGCAGTATAAAACTTATGCAGTATCAAGCTCAATGAATCTAAAAATTTGATGTGGCTCTGAATACTTAGTAAAAGCTAAATTCTTAATATTTCCTCCTTTTTGAACTAACTTATTGAACTAACTTATTTCAAGTTGTGGGTGGGTTCAAACATAACTATAAAAAGACCATAATCAATAAACTATTTATTCATTTATTTATTTCTTTTAGTAATATTTTATAAGCATTCAGAATTTGTTGCATTTTGTTAAAATTTAAAAATCATAGAAATAGAAAAGTATTAGGTTTTATATTAAAAATTTCTTCAAAATACTAGTATGTCCAACCCTTTTTTTTTTAAACAGCCGTATGTTTTTAACTACGCTAAATTTTAAGTACCTCTTGAACTTGTACCCTTTGCGCTTGTTCCCCTCGGGCAGTGAAAACCTTTTGTTTACATAGTTAGAACATGTACTGTTAAATCAAATCTAATTAAATACTTGTAAAATTTGATGCAAAAATTTTACAAGTAATTTTTTTATAGAACGAACAACTTTTACTATGTAGAGTAAAAGAAGGATATAATAAAATAGAGGATATAATGAAATTAATAATAAAATGAAATAGTTATGAAGATGCTCTTTTTGTTCTTAGTTAATTATTGACTATTTGTAAATATTTTTTAATTTCGTAATATTATTATTATTATATTTATTTAAAAATTTAGTTTAAAGTCATAATAGAACTAATTTATATTTTTTTAAGCGCAAAGAGCCACTGTTGTCAAGGAGACTATTGTTTTTATTGTTATTCTCATTTTTCCTCTTTTCCGTCCTTGATCCAAAACATGAAACTTGACAAACATGGCTGCTGGATAAAGAATCATATTAAGTGCAGTTTTTTCAGGGACCTAGTACTTAAAAATAACTTACTCTTACTATAATTTTAACAAAAAAAAAATAATAATAAATATAACTAAAAATAATAATAAATATAGTAAAAAAATAACTAAAAATAATAATAAATATAGTAATAATAATAATAATAATAATAATAATAATAATAATAATAAAAATATAATAATAAACATAATAATAAAAAATAACTAAAAATAATTCCATTTCTGAATAAGATGATATAAAATTTAACTAAAAGAAGTTCTTTTTGATAAATTGTTAAGTTTTTAGATGCGGTTAGAGTGCTATTATTGTAAAAACTGTTAAATTTTCAAATAATACGAATCAGGTAAAAAAAGGTAGTTTTACTTAAAGAACTCATTATACCAATTATAGCATGTTGCTTTCATTTGTTATTAATGCTAACTATTAAAATATACATGCTAACATAAATTATTTATAGATTTTTCATTTGAAATATTACAATTGATATTTAAAATTCTCTTTCATTTTTAAAAAAATTGCGCCAAGTTATGTATACATTTGTAACCCCTCAAATTGAGGAGAGTTAAAACTTCATAATATTTGAACGTTAAGATGTACTATGAAATTTAAACTTAATTGTAGTATATTACTTTAGTTGAGAATATTTAAAAAAATATTGTATCATCTCTTACAAATGGGTAGGGGGAAAAATTTTAGTTTTTTTGTTAGTTCTCAGACTCCAATCACCGCAATTTTTTCTAAATATCTTTATTTGACATAAGTAAAAACATATAAATGTATGGAATTTGCTCTATATCTGTAAGTTAGATATCTCAAACACAAAAAATATACTGCATCTGCCTCTGCACTTAATGCTAATAAACAGTACAATTATTATTATTTTAAATAACACAAAAACTAATACAAAGAACCTTTTTTTAACTAAGGTTATATTATAAAATATACTCATAAAAGTATAATTTTATATTTTATATAATATTGATTTAATTCCACTTTTAAAAATCAGTTTCCTATCTTTGTTAAGACGTTCTTCGTTTTTTTTATTTTACAATCAGCACATCTTTATTTCTAGTTGATCTAGGATTATAAATTTGATATCAAAATTTATCATTTAATAACCTATATAATGGAATTAGTTTAGTTGGAAAAATAAAAGTTTAAATTTTTTATGAGGATACCTACTTATTATAAAATAATATTTTACGTTGATATACTCGTTTATATAATATTGATTTTATTTTTAATGTACAAAAGTTTCGCCTCCATTTGTTACTTTGTCACAAAAAATAAATAAAATTGTAACACTTAAAAAATAAGGTAGGTAAAATTTGTACGCGCGTCGAATAAGAAAAAAAATTTATTAATAAAATTATAAATAAAATAATTAATGTATACAAAATTTATACACACGTGTGTATATATATATATATATATATATATATATATATATATATATATATATATATATATATATATATATATATATATATACATTATATATATTAGGGTGGGGCATAAAATACCAAAGTCAATCAAAAAATACCATAATAATTTTTGTGGTTCCTTATGATAAATGTATCAAAAATATATATAAATCTTTTATTTATGGGTATTACAGCAGTCCGAAATTACAGAAAATTCTAATTTTTGTACATATGGAAGTGGCAGTGTCACTTAAAAATATTTCAAAAATACTGTAGAAGTTATTCATGTCCACTTGGTGATTTTTTTACTGATTTTTTTAAGTGGTTGTCTCTAAAAATGTGTACCATGTGTCCTTTACGAAGTAAAGAAAATTTGGCAAAAAGCAGAAATTCCTTTTATTAATACTGGGAAGCATATAAAGTGTTTGTTATACTAAAATGCTTTTTAATTTATAGTTTAAGCAATTTATAATTGACTTAAATAACATAAGCTTTACAAGATAACAATTTTTTTTTATTATTAATAAATTATGATATCGTCGGAGATCGCGTAAGTAGCATTGGATAATACCGCATATCAACAGTACATTATTTTTACTGGAGAAGTTTAAAACTTTATATATGTTTTATTTTAATTGATTTTGGGTTCATTTTAGTAATAAGAGTATTATTCATGCAATATCCCCGACGATATGTTAAATGAATTCTTTTACTTTTGTTTTATTTAGAGACAAGTTTGTTGACTTAGAAAAGAAGAGAAAGGATTTAAACGAACACAGGAACTGTTTAAGCGAAAATCTAGTTTTAAAAATAAAAACATTTTCAAAAATGCTAGAGGAGTTACTTGATGAAGATAAAAAAAAATGTAAAGATATTATGGTGAAAGATATAATTAAAGATTTAAAAACTAGACAAGAAGATTTAAATTTTCTTAACGACCAAAATAAGTCTTAAAAAAACGTCTTTAAAAAATTGTTAGGTAAAGGCAATACTTCAAAAAAGAAAAACTAAAATTGATTTTCAAAGAACGAAAGAGCCTATGAGAAAACAGAGAAAGTGGATTACTGAGAAACTTGAAAACACAACAAAATGTTTAAATGTTTTCGATACTGGCAAAGATGAATAGTATCTTCAGCCTATTGGAAAAATTAAAAAATCAAATGCTGTTCCTCGTTTTGTTACAAAAAGTATTAGTTAGTAGTTAAACTAGACGAATGCAGCGAGTGTGGTTTATCACACTTTGACAGCATTAATCCAAATATATATTAAAAAATGTTTAGTTGAAATTGCTGTGATTTGGCATTATACTTATCTAATCTATTTTTAACTTGATTGACAGTTTTTGAAGTAACAACAGTTTCCGGTAAAACGTTCCATAAATTGACTGTACGATTTAATAAAAAATGATGCCGAGGTAAATAGTTCACAATTTCTCTTTCATATTTAAGATTGTGGCTTCGAATAATTGAATCAATTTTAATATTTTTGTTTTTTCCATTTCAAGTCTGTTGAAAAATATACACCTAAATCTCTCTCGCATTCAGAATCTTTCAGTTCAATACCATTTAAAGTATATTTCAATCGCGGATTATTTATACCATAATGCATTATAACGCATTTACTAGAAATAAAACCCAAGAGCCACTTTTTAGACCATTCAATTGCACTATCCAGATCTTTTTTCAAGCTGTTTTTAACATTTATTTCATTCACTTTTGAAAGAATTTTTGTATCATCTGCATACAATTCTGACTTATTTTTAAATATATTTGATATATCATTAACAAAAATAACAAATAATAAGGGTCCTATTACGGATCCTTGCGGAACACCACTTAAAGTTTCGCGCCATGAAGAAACAATATCACCTTGAATAACTCTTTGAATTCTTTTTTTTAAAAAAGCTTCAATCCATTTTAATAATAAACCACTAATTCCATATGAAGATAGTTTAATCAATAGTCTTTAGTGAGCAACAGAAACAAAAGCTTTAACAAAATCTAAAAGTGCTACATCTACCGAAATACCAATCGATAAATTAAATGAAATATAATCCAACGCCTCTAATAAATTTGTTGTACAAGACTTCCCTTTAACAAAACCATGTTGTGACTTCGATATAAGTTTATATTTCATTAAATATTATTGTATGCAGTCTCTGACTATACCTTCCATAAATTTACAAGTAATTGACGTCAATGACAGTGGTCTATAATTTGCAGCTTCTAATTTATCTCCCTTTTTAAATAGTGTTGTAATATTTGCTGCTCTCAATTGAGTTGGTAGTTCATTTTTAACAAAAGATTCTTTAAAAATTAAAGTTAATGGCGATGCTAAGGAATCCGCACAATTTTTCAAAATCAACAAATGTATAGAATCAACTCCATATGTTTTATTGATATCAACATGTTTTAATCTACTTAAAACATCAAAATAATCTATATTAACTGCATCAATAATAATATCCCCTAAATTCTCGATTTGTGGAAGCTCTTCCGTAGAATTTTCGATGGTAAACACATCTTGAAATTGTTTATTTAAAATTTCAACAATTTCATTTTGATCATTTATTGGAAAAGATTTAGCTCCAACAGCATCACAATATGGAATAAATTCAACTAAATGCAACTCTTGCTTCACTTATAAATAACAGTTCTGTAAAGATAGATGATTATTCTATTTCTAAACGAAGTATGTTTAGGTAGAAAATGTCAAGTATAATAAAACTGCATATATTATTAGAGACAATTTTTTTATATTGGCTAAAGATATAAGCCTTAGAGTGCATTTTGATTCAAAAATTAGAGCAGAAATGAAAGAACTTAGTAAAAAGAAAGTTGAAAGAGTAGCTGTGGTAACAAATTCCTGGTGAGTTGATTACCACAGAATTGATGAATTCTTTTTCAGAATTGAATTGAATTTTTCAGAATTGAATTCTCTTTCAGAATCCCAACTTTTGGGTATTGCAATTGTAGAACGGCACTGCTGATTCTCTTGAAAAAGCAATCAAAAAAACTTTACAACACTTGGAGCTTTTTGATGTTGATTGTCTGTCCTTTGACACTACTGTCAAGAAATCTGTACTTTAATTGAGGAGTAGAGATGAAAAGCTTTAATTTGGATGACTTGTCGTCGTCATATCTATGAATTACATATAAATGTAAAATTGAAAAAACCTAAATATAAACAAAGTATCAAAAAATATTTTTACAATTATTTTTATACTTACTTGTGAATATTTTTCAACGAATTAAATAATTTACCTTGTTATTTAAATTTAAATAAGCAATTTGAAATAAATATCTTTCAGTACTTTTCAAGTGTTCTTACTGGTGGTAATACTAGTGAACCAAGGACAGAGTTATTTGAAAGGCTAAAGTGTAATTAGAAATATGATAAGTAAAGATAAATTATTGATAACCTGAAGAGATTTGAATCATTTTTACTACATTTTTGGAAAACCAGGTTGGTTGATTGTCCTAATTATATTAATATGTTTGACTATAAGTTTTAATAAAGTCTTTTATAAAAGTTTAGGCCTCTGAATCATTAAGATTTCTTTAAAATTGACTCAATAATGATATGTTTCCAAGAAATGATTACAAATATTTTATACAATTAGCAGTTCTTTGGTGGCAAAGTAAAAGAATTTTGCTTTAGATTTCTAATAGCTTTACATCATGCCAGGTTTATAACACAGGGAGTTTACTATTTAACACATGATCTTCTTCAGTTATAATTCAGTAGCTTATGTCTTAATCAGCTTTCCCTCTTGTAATGATATTATGTTCCTAACATAATATCATTACAAGAGGGAAAGCTGATTCATGAAACAGCTTTGTTTACAGCACTGCTTTATGTTTCGTGGTTTATTAAAGCTTCTATGGCTGCCACAGCACCTTCTTTAGATCTTCAAGCAATTAATGAAATGACACAATATTCTGATTTATGTCTTAGACCAGCAGAAGCTTTTCTGAAGTCACTTAAAAAACTGGTATTTAAATGAAAGATTTGTGGTGTGTCTTGCAGATAAATGTTTACCTGTAGATCAGTTACATAAATTAGCTCTTAAATTATCTCAAACAGCTAAGCCTGCCAGTTATAAGATGAGAAAATTGAGTTCGGAAATTTTTATTGATAATGAAGATAAAATGACAAAAAAAAAATAGAAAATTTTACTTGTCCTGAATGGCGTTACATAAGACAGAATGGCTGAAAATCAGTTCATCAAATTAGAACTTATTTCCTGGTTATATAAAAATTCAAAATTATGCCACTGGTCTTCTCATTGTAAATGACAGTGCTAGGTCAAGACTTTATTGAAACTTTCAGAAACAAAGAAACATAACCAAGCTAATTTACTGGTTGTTGCTGATCATTGTCTAAAATTTTAGACAACAGATACAAAAAACTTCAAAACAACCTTTCTTATAAAAAATACAATTGTAAAATATGTTTTTAATTTAAAATACATAGAAAATAACTTTGTTACTCCCCCCCCCTAACTGCCAAATATACATAACATGTATACTAATGGGTAGGACTGACAATATATCAGGCTACATAACTCTTATAGTATTTTAAAATATTTTTATATGACACTGCCTCCTCCATATGTAAAAAAATTAGAAATTTTTGTAATTTTGAACAGCTGGGACCAACCATGAAAGTATATATATATAAAAAAATTTATATATTTTTTTGATATATCAAAAGTAACCACAAAAACTATTATGGGATTTCTTTATATACTTTGGTGTTTTATGCCCCACCATAATATATATATATCAGAGGTGTAAACTGGATTTTTTAAAATTTCAAATTTCATGCAATAATCTCTTTTTTTTCAAAACTATTACTACACAAAGTTTTAACTCCCCTCAACTTGAGAGGGCTGTAAACTTTGCAGGGTCATAAAAAGTGAACACTAAGAGATTATTGCATGTAATTTTAAATTTGTGTATGAATATAAATTTAGATAAAATAGTAAAGAAAATATTTTACAAACTCATTGCTGCCACGTTGAGAACTGGGTGGGTCCAAAAATTAGGGGTTTTTTGTTCTCATTTGACATAAGCATTAACATACAAAAGTTTATAAATAAATAAATAAAAATATATATATATATATATATATATATATATATATATATATACACATATATATATATATATATATATATATATAAATATAAATATTAGTAGTAGTAGTAGTAGTTAAACATATAAACACTGCATATGAAATATTTATTTCTTTCATTGTTACTATTAAGTAATTTTAAGGAAGATACACCAAATTTAAGTTTAATATTTTTTTAGCACTAGAGGCCTTTCAAAAAATCATCAGTAGTGCTATTTTTGTTATCAGAATAATATTTTCCTATTTTTAAACAGGAAAAGATAATTATCCATTTTTTAACCTATCTTACTATTATAATCAATTTTTTTTTATTATTTTAAACAGAAAATTTCAATTAAAAGTATTATGATTTTGTTTGTGGAAATGTTTTTCATAGGAAAATAAATTCTTTTCATTTTTGAGAAACAAAAAGTTGGAAAAAAGGTTTTATAATTTAATTATGTGCACATTGACAATTATAAACATAGATATCAAATCTATCTGCTGATTGTTCTTTATTACAAACCATAAAGATATAATATATGAATATAATAATAGTTATTGTTTTTTAAAAAACAATAACTTTCTGTTTAATGACAAAATGTATCATTAAATTTCAGGAACAGCAATAGTTACTGATTTTGCTCCACACTATGCATGGACTCACAATTTATTTTTTAAAAGAAACAAGACTTTTTCCTAAAATCTTACTTAGTACTTTTCCGATCAAGAAGTTAACAATATTAAACAATTTTATTATAGATATATTGATGACAGTTTCATAATCTGGCCAAAACAATTGGATATCGTAAAATTTATAAATTCTTTACCTGAAATATTTTTTTAAAAATTCAATCAGTTTTACAACAGAACACGGCAATAAAAAATTATAAAAGATGGTACAATGTGATTAATTTTTTTGAATATTTATTACTCTTGAAAAGAGTAATAAAATAGTAACAGACAATTATGATAAAGAAACTAATACCCATTATTACTTAAATTATAAAAGTCATCATCCTTATCACATAAAAAAGAACATCCTTTTTAATCAGGCTAAAAGTATAACTTTTTCACATCTGATTACAAAAAGAATAAACAAAGATTAGAAAAACCAAAAGCATGGCTAAGAGAATGTGAATATCCTGATAGTGTTAGAGAAAAAGTTTTTCACAATGCAAAACTCCTAGGACCAGCCCCTCAAAACTAATCTAAAGAAATCTTTCTCTTAATTACAACTTTTTATAGCAACTTGGATTGCCAACCTTTTTGTTACTAAAACTAATCTTTTACTTCATCTATTTTTAAATGAAAGGGTAAAAGAGATTTTTTCAAATATCCAGCTAGTAATTGCATTTGAAAAACCACCTCAATCTGTTAAGAATACTGACCTCTGCAAAAATCCATTTAATTGATAAAGAAATAGGATTATTTAAATGTAAAGATAATTGTTGTAAAGTATGCAAATTCTACCTTTAAGAAGTTAAAACATTTATAACATCAAATGGTTCCATATGGAACATAAAGATTCATGTAACTTGCAATAGTAAAAAATGTAATATTTTAAATGTTTATTTTGCAGTAAGAAAACTACATACACCAGAAAAACTAACAATTTAAGACTTGATACAAATAGACATATTTCTAGTTGCAGAACTGGACAATCAATAGATAGATTTGATAACCATGTTTATAATTGCAACGTGCACATAATACAATTATAGAACTAGTAAGTGACTGGGGCCCCGGCCCCAACTGAAAAAATCTCATTTCTGACAAAATTATGCTTAGGTTGTTAGAGAAATTCGTAAAACTTCACCTATAAAGTTATAATAAGACAGGAAATAATTAAATATTTATATATCATCTTAAACTATATTTAATTATGAACATTTTAAGTAGTTGTTGAAATATTTTGAATGTTTATTAAAAAAGTTATTATATACGCTTGAAAGAAAAAATTTAAAAATGGAAAAACTTGAATATCAAGCATATATTAAAACCTGTGCTCTACGTAGAGTTTCAGCACAAGCCATAACCAATGAATTGGTTTTAGTTCATGGTGACCAAGCTCCAAAATATAATACAGCTGCCAAGTGGGCTACTTTATTTAAAGATGGTAGAGAGTCTTGAAGATGATCCTTGCTCAAGGCACCTTGCTCAAGGCACCCATATACAGCTGAGAATATTGAACGTGTGCAAGCCATTATTGAAGAAAATACGAGTGCAACACATGATATAATTGAAGCCCTGACATTGATTAATCATTTTAAAATCAACGAAATCATTCATTAAAAAAAAAAGAAAACTAACATCACGTTGAATACTCCACAAATTAACTTATCAAAATCAAAAGAACAGAGTTAAAGCATGTAAGTAAAATTTAGCCCTTTTGGTAAATGGTCCATGGAGACTATGCGATATTGTTATAGAAGATGAGTTGTGGTTTTATTTAAGACAAGTTGAACACAATTCAGCTAACGCTAGTTGGGTCAGTGAAGGTGAAAGTCCAAGAACTATAGTAAGATGTGATAGGTTTCAGCCAAAAAGCATGTTCTACATCTTCAAAACAACAGGTGTTGTTCATTTGGGTTATGTTGAAAAGGGAGACACTATTACTAGCGAATATTATATTACATATAACATTCACTAGTAATGTATAGTATATTATATTACATATACATCTGAGATAAGATACAAGATTTAGTAAACTGAGAATAACAGAGCTTAACATCAGACAGGACCTTTTTACATTGGTTTCTTGGAATAAGGACATTTGTTCTTAAAAGAAATGTTCTTGTAAAAAAGATGAAAAAAACTTTTATTCCATAAAGAATAAAGCATTCAAAATGCACTTTATGCATACATACTATTGATATAAACATATACATTTGTTATTTATTTAGATACTGGCATACAATATCCTAACATATCTATATAAACTTTAGTTAATATATGGTGTAGTATTTACCAAAAGAGAAGTTGAGATAAGGATGATGATCATGATCATGATGGTAATAATGATCATGTTGATCATAATGATGTTTATATATGTGCATATATACAAAATGTAACATGAATTTTGAATAAAATGGATGTATAAATGTTTATGCAGCCCTGGTCACAAACCTGGCTCCTGCCCCGGCTATATTTAATTAAACCTGGCCCCCACCATTTACTATATAGAACCTTTCTTCCAATTTTTGTTTTTTCGAAACTCAAAAATGAAAAGAATTAAATTTCCTATGAAAAACATCTCCACAAACAAAAACATGACTTTTTTAATTGACATTTCCTGTTTAAAACCAAATAAAAATAAATTATAACAGTTATAAAGATTAAACAATGTATAAATATCAATTCCTAATAAAAATTGGAAAATATTATTTTAATAACAAAAATAGCACTACTGATGATTTTTTGAAAGACCTCTAGTGCTTAAAAATATTAAACTAAAATCTAGTGTATCTTCATTAAAATTACTTAATAATAACAATAAAGAAATATTTCATATGCTTGTTTATTTGTCAACTACTTTATTTATATTGGTTATTAACACATTTCAAATTATACTTATATATATATATATATATATATATATATATATATATATATATATATATATATATATATATATATATATATATATATATATATATATATATATATATATATATATTTATTATACATATTTATACAATTATACATATTATATTATACATACATATATATATATATATATATATATATATATATATATATATATATATATATATATAATTGATATATATATAATTGATATATATATATATATATATATACATATATATATATATATATATATATATATATATATATATATATATACATATATATATATATATATATATATATATATATATATATATATATATATATATATATATATCAATTAATTAATAACTGTCAATAAATTAGCTTGAGGCTCAAGATAATAGTAAACAGCAATAACTATAACTCTAAACAAAAAAGTGATATACATGCAAATCAGCTCTCATTTTAACATCAATTGATAACTGGGGAGATATACAACATAGGAGTAGCTAAAAAGGTAATCTTACAGTTACGCGGCCTAAAAAAAACTATTTTTCTGCATGTCAGTAGAGGCTTTACAAATAATAAAAGAAAAATAATAAATAATTGAAATAATAAAAGAAAAAAGATTGCTGCCCTATGCCAAATCCTCAGTCGATGTAGCAGCACTTCCTTGTAGGAGCAGGCTATAAGATAGTCGATGTAGTAGCACTCCATTGCGAGTCAGGCTATAAGATAGTCGTTGTAGCAAAACTTCCTGGCGCAACAAGCGCAAAAATATAATTATTTTAGGCTGCGTAACTGTAGCTTTACAGCTAAAAAATTATATTTATGTGCATTTGTGTTTATATTTATGTGAGTGTATGCATATAACTTTTAAATTTTGTACTATACTACTAAAAGGAACCCCTAAGTTGTGTTTACTCACAGAGCTTAGATAATAGTTCATACAGCATTTATAAATTAAAAGCACATAAGAAAAGTTAATTATTATGACACTTGCTGCTTACCATACAGTTGTGTTATTAACCTTCTAGCACACTGTATTGGGTAATTAAGAACTAAAAGGTACATATAGAAATAGCTTTTACAATAAAAAAACGAAATCAAATTTAAAACCTTTTTAAAGTGGTCTGGAAAATTTTTAAATTCTGGTAGCAAAGAAATGTACCTCAAACTAACCATTTTTTTACTTATGCCAACATCCCTTTTTGAAGAATGATCTGAACAAATTAAAATGCTATTACCCGACCATTTTATTTATTTTTTTTTCTTTTTCAATAAGTAAAGCAATTTCAATACGCGATTTTTTAAGGTGTTGTGCAGATATAGAGTTATACAGTTATACAAGGAAAACACAAAACATTGACATTTTTTTTATCAGTTGTTCGAAGAATTTATGAACTTTTACATCGCACCAAACAATTAATATTTTGCCGAACTAAAAGGGTAGATGATAGAATCAAAAACCTTTTCCAAGGAAAACACTAAATCCAATCCTTCTAAGTGCAACCTAAATTTTACTGACCGATGTGATCTTCAACGTAAATATAGTTTTAACTTTAAAATAAAAGAAACTCTAAGATTTTCAATAACATTTAATAACATTTGTATTTAATATTTATTATTAATCACGTTGTTATTAATAATATTTTCGTTTAGTATCAATTTGATAACATTTATATCAAATTGTAAATGCCGTAATCGGGTCTAGAATTTTTAAAAACTGTTCAAACAGCCCTTTGACGAATTGGATTAAACGTTTCCTCTATTCCAATGTTTGAAGTTTTGTGTAAATTGATGGCCGGAATATGACAAAATAAGTGATTCATGGCCGACAACACGGGTTTCGAAGTGGGGAGGAAAATAGTCAATTTCTAAAAAAAATTCCATATCCTGAAAAAATTCCTTTAGAAAAAAAGTCATGGGGGGGTACGTGTCTCCAGGCGTCGACGACGCTATATTTGCATTGACTTTTAAACACTTTTTAACTTATTGTCTGGCCAAATCAAAATCCTTAGTTGATGTATGTACACACCCTGCATGTTCTACCAATTTAGTCAATCGATGTAATAACACTCCCTGCATGTTCTACCTATTTAGTCAACCGATGTATGAATAATCCCTGAATGTTCTACCTATTCATTCAGCCGAGATATATACACTCCCTACATGTTTTACCTATTTAAGTCAGTCGATGTATTTGCATTTCCCGCATGTTCTACCAATTTAGTCAGTTGATGTATGTACACTCCCTGCCTGTTCTCCATGTTTAAACAAGTGGGCACACATAGACTGACTTAAACTTTTAAGTCAGTCTATGTGTGTACACTTCCTAATTTTTATAACAAATAAAATTTAATAAACAATATAACTTTTTATAAACAACAATCATAGATAAGTACACACGAAAACATAA